CTTCTTAGATAAAAAAACCCCACTCATTACTTACCAGAATTAGAATGTTTTTAAAAAGAATCAGTTGTTTCATGTGAATGATGCAGTCATGTTTCTATCTGTTCCTTTAGAATAAATTGATGTGCTTAGTAACGTACACATGATGTGGAAAAGAAAAAAGTCTTTAGCGTTTTATTCACCTTCTAGTTTGTTGATGCTGTTTGAGAATTTCATTTCACTGCATTGAAGCTAGCCCTTAAAGTAACAAGTCAATGTTAGGTATAATAGTTGTAGATACAGTAAATGATGAGTAAAGTAAATGATCTCCTTCCTTAGAAACCTGCCTCTAAGGAAAACTTTACAAATGTCTGAGACTGTCTCCTGAGTATTATTCTAACCTGAAGACTAGAAGTGTCTGCCTTTCGTAAAACAGTAAAAGGGGTAAATTTTTGGTAAACAAAAGGTGTAAATTCTGTTGCTTAGTTCAGCCTGTAAGCAGCAGATGTGTACTGTGCTTAGCAGGATTGGCATTAGTGAGTGGTGGGTTCCTCCAGGCTGTTAAAATTAGCAAGCTGAGTAGTGTAGCAAGTACAAGTAGCCTCTCTTCTGCATCCCTGTGTTCTAATCTTTTCCACCTTGCATTGAGTACAGTTATATCTCGTCAACAAGTTTAGTTCCCAGTGTTTCTATAAATATAGTGAAACTGCCTTGTGAAAAAAAAATCAATTAAAATGCCAGTCTTTGCTAGGGAAGTAGTATAATGTCTAATAATCTTAAAATGTGATAGAACATCGCTAGATGCTGGGATGCTGTTGGAGCCCAAATTATTTATGAAGCCAGAAGGAGATTGAGAATATTGACTTGTGCTATATGTTGAAAAAATTTCTATTAAAAAAAAAAGTTAAAATGTTACTTATCTGCACATATGTCATGTGCTGCAAATTGAAATTCTCTTCCTAATAAGATACTGTCATGATCCTGACTTAAGAAGTAACAAGTGCTTATGAAGATTGTAGAGGCTACACGGGCAAAATACTTAACTGAAAACTATCCCTGTATGGGCTGGGTGAATATCCCATTGTGATCTGTTTTTTCAGACACTACATTATTCCTTCTGCTAGTAGAGAAGTTACTCTGAGGTTAGTCCTGAGTCCCATAACCTTGTTTGAGCAAAGACGTTTAGAAAAATGTACACTACATTAAATTTTAAAAAAGCATCTCAGTTTTGAGAAGCTTCTTCAGGAAGAAGCCAAAAGGGTAAAATGCTTGAAAATGCTGTATTAATATGGTCGTGCGGTCGTATGCTGGCTTTGGAGATAGCATAGCATCGATTCTTATTTGGAAGGGTGTAGACCAGGAAGATGATGTTCTCTGAGGAGTAGAAGCTGTTGAATTAAGGAAAAGTGGAAAGAGCAAACAAAATAGAAGTCTGTTAAGACAGAGGGTTTGAGAACTGGTTTGCTAAGTGCATTAAAACCTGAAAACCTTGCGCATTGAAATCAAGAAACTTGCCAGAGTCACTAGGCCTGAGAGGCATAGGAAAGGACGCCCAGGAGAAGTTAGATCATGTCGTAAAAACTAAGTGAACTAATTGCATTGCTTTTTGCTAGAGAAGGGCTTAAGAGACTTCTAACCATAACTGTCTTTTATTCCAGGCAACTGTCATTTTAAATTTCAGTAAGAAGTGGTGAAATCCATCAGCAGAATGATAACTGTTGTACAGCCATGTCTGGGGGTATGTGCTGAAGAATTCCAGAGGAACTTAACCATGAAACTATGGCATATGGTTTGAACTTGAAATGAGTTTTGATTATCTAGCTCTTGTGCTGTTGTCCCATGCAAACTGAAGCACTAAATGGAGTCCTGCCTTGCCAGTGCAAGGTAGAAAACAATGAAGCTGACTTAAAAAGTAGATCAGGGAAGGATATGTAGAGTAGTGATGGCTGGTATTCTTCTGAGTCTTTCATGATATGATTAAGAATTGTGACAGTGTTGAACAGAAGCTCAGTGGGGCACTGAAATGAGAGTGCCTGTGTGCTTGCTGTTTTTCTGACCTTGCTGGCACTCCAGGGGCTGCTTTTGAAAGACTATGCAGTGTGTGCTACAGGCTGCAGTGTGCAGGGGAACTGAGACCCCTTTTATTCTCCTCCTTCCCTAGTGTGGGGTGGCTACTGTAAATGCATTTTTTTCAGGAATGTCTGGATCTCCTGGAGTGGTTGGATGGGGTTGATACCATAACAAAACAGAACTTATTTGCGTGAGTAAACATAAAGAAAGGGGCTAGTACATGCTTTGATAAAGATAGTTGTGTCTCACAGGTCTCATTTCCTTGAAGGATTCATTGTTAATCCTTGTTCATGTAGTTGGTCTGATAACACAGAATTGTTGGAATTTTTCAGAAGAATGTTTCTGAGATTCTTTTTTCAAAACTTTGTAAAAACCGAACAGTCACAGGCTTGCTGGGCTTACGGGTTAACTGCTTAGAAGTAACCAAAGGAAAGAATAAATTATTTGTTATAATAGGGGAAGGTTACCAGTGGAATTAGTCAAGTTGCTTGGTATATTCATAAATACCTGGAGGGAAGAAATGAATGAGAAAAGGATGAAAAGGATAATAGGAAGCTAGAGCTGACTGCAGACAGTCTCTGTGGGAGTTTATTGTTCATTACATTATAAAAGTGCTGATAAAATTAAATTCTAGTAAATATGGAATCATGAATCTGAAGAAAAATAATTCTGGCTGAATGTACCCAGTGGGTGGACTTTATTTTGGTGATTATTGTTCAGAAAACACCTTGAGGCTCCTTCATAATGGTTTCTTTTAAAGAGCAGCTGTATGTTCAGATATCCTCAAATAGCAGTTAGCAGCAATCTTTGCAGACATGGACAATAAAATGAAAACAAGTGTGTGTCATGGGCTGAATGATGTAATTGTGTATTGACTCCGTGTGCATTTCTGGCCACCTGTCAGAAAACATGGTGCAACTGAAAACAAGCTGAAGAAGGTTAGCTCGGATCAAACTTTAGACCTGCTCCTGTGTAAGGAGAGAAAGAAGTAGTGAGAATTGCTAGCTTGAAAAAGAGCTGGTGGATATGAATTGGGAGCCTGAGAAGTGTTACATTTGGAGATGAACTGTCAGTAATAACTTTTTTCCTCCAAGAAAAAGAGCATCAGATAAAATCATTAAAGGGCAGCAGTTTAAAATAAAGCACTTCTTTATTCTGATGCACACTTTAATTCTCATAGAATGCCATGAATGACAAAAGCATAAATAGACTAAAAAGACCTGGAAAAAGCAGTGGAAGAAAAGTTGTTTCAGCTATTACGCATTGTGGTTGGGATCCACCTCAAAAGTATGCCAAGGGAAATTACTGGAGGCTTGGAAGAATTGCTGTAAGGGAGTTGGATAACTGCCTGTCTTTTTTTGCTTTCACCCTGTGTCTGCCTACTGCTGATCTTTATAAGCAGGACAATGGGAAGTCTTTAGTTTGCCCCCGCTGTTGTTAGGTGTATTCACATATTTTCTTCATTGGTCATCTTGGAAAAGGGGAAAAAAAAGCATACTTCCTAGAAATGAAGTAAAATAGGAGTACGTTTGTATTTTCTGTCTTGCTCTGAAGTTTTGAAATCGAATAGATTCATCAACAAATTGAAATGTTTAGTTGGTATGTCCGCTGTGTAGTTAAATATTCAATTGTGGATCTGGGCCCAGTTAAGAGAAAGGGCAAACAGTAATTCTAAATGTGTGTGCTTTTTGGAAGTATCTTTGTGCTTTGCTGCTAAAATCTCTTTTTGTGTATGGAAAGGAATACGGATGCTTAAAAACTGGGTGTATGGTGTGTTGGAGGCTATCTGTTAGTGGGAATTCTCTAGTAAAATGAGTTGCAAAAGGCTCAGGAAGAGTTAAGAGTTCTACTAGAGATGTATAAAATTTTACTTTGGAAGGCTAAGTATGTTAACTAAGGATTGAACCTGATTTTTTTTTTTAGGACAGTATTTGGTTTTCACTACAATGTTGAATTGGTATGTTTCTTGAATTAGAGAGAATTCTTAGAAATACGTCAACATCAAAAATGTTTTTGTAAAATATCACAGCAGTAGTTATTTGCATTTTTTTGTTTTTCTTCGGCATGGCTTGGTGCTTTTCCATTGAAGGCAAACACAGCATTCACCTGAAAATTCAAATTGATCTTCTTTCAAATTTGGCAATGAGTGTTCTATAGAATTGGGAGATGAGAAACAAAAGGACTCAACAGGTGTATAAAGATCCAGTGTCAGAACTCCTCATGTAATGCTGGTATTAATGTATTTTACACTGGAGAATATATTTAACACTTCTCACTTTGAGTAGTTCAGTTGGAAGGTGACTTCCTATATGAATGAATGGCTAATAAAGGGCTTGAGTGGACAAAGGAGCCCCCGTTTGTCAAAGTGGACATTTTCACATCAAGGAATACTCAAATGTTCCTTTTATTGCTCTCTACAAAAACTCATTAGTGCCAGTGGCCTGTTTCCAAGTCCGTGTAAACTTTCACATGGACAGAAGTAAGAACCCCTCGAAGAATAAATGTACTTGAAGATTTTAATTTTCTTGTGCTGCTTCACATTTGAATTGTTGCATAGTTTTTAAGACTATGCTTTGTTTTTTAAATAAAATAATCTTTGGGAATCAGTAATTGAATTTGACCTTCATTGTTGAGCCAGTATGAAGGTTAGTAAATGTCTACTAGTGTTTGTGTCCTTGTGTCTTTTGATGTCTTTAGCACTCAGATAATGTGATGAGGGCTGATGTGTAGGTATTGTTGAGATTACTGTGAGGTGCTGCTGTGAAAATCAAGTATGAACATATCTGTCCTAAATCCCAGATCCCAAACCCTCCAGTTTCCCGTATGAAAGCCTAATTGTTGTGGCATTCACCTTGCTTGAAAGTACTGCTGGTTTTGGTTAAATGGCTTGGGTTTGTTGAAATTTATTGTAATAGTTAAATAATCGTTATAACTGATGCTACTTTCTCCTTTAGACTACATGAAGAAATAATTGACTTCTATGACTTCATGTCCCCTCGTCCTGAAGAAGCAGCTATGAGAAGAGAAGTGGTGAAAAGAATAGAAACAGTTATCAAAGATCTTTGGCCTACAGCTGATGTGAGTGTAATTTGTGTTGATTTGCTTCTCTAGTAGGTTTTAGAGCTGGGTTCACTTAACCTTGCTATTACCTTTCTGTGTTTTAGAAATGAACAGAGAAGACTTCAAACTTAAGGCAACTGACTTAATAACACAGCTCTTAAGTACTTGACAGTTTATTTTAAAAAGTGGAGGAAATAGAAAACCTAGGTTTCAGGTTAATGAAGGCTACTGATAAATTTTTCATTTTGAGAACAGGGGATGTGAAGGACTGTCCACTTCAAGAAGCGCATTTCTTAAAGTAAAAGCTTATTAAATTTATTGCTTCTGCATAACTTAATTTTGAATATTAAAGTGAGACTGACTACCTATGTATCCATTTCTGCAAGGAGTCCTGAGTCTGTGGATATTTGTAAATACAAATACTTTACAAAAGAAAAGTTACAAACACCAGATTTTTTTTTTTGCACTCTTCACAAATTTGAGATTCAGAGAATTACTTTAGCCCTGCTTTAGTCGGAAAATTGGACTTGACTTCCTGAGATCTTGCAATCAAAGTTGTATTTTCAAACCCTTTATTGCTCAAAGACGAAACAAAAAGCATCCGAAAGGAATGTGATGTAACTGGTATATCTAGCATCACCTTTCTGATGACCAGATAGTAGCTTTGTCATTAACAAGCAGAAAAACATTTCAGACCTCTGATTTCATAGCCTTCCATGACAAAGAGTGAGGACTGTGGCCACAGTACTCAGCTAAAGATACAGTAAAGCTCACCTAGTTCATCCTCACTTGTGATTTTACTTAGAAATAACATTTTTCTAGCTTGTGGGAACAGATATAAACACAGAAATGGCCCAGTGTTGCCCAGCCTTTTCATAGGTCACTTCAAAGAAGTGGACTTGTGAATTGTGCTCTGCTGTAGCAGAGGGGGAAGAACGTCTCAATTCTTTAGATTGGAAGTATACTAGAAGTATTTGATGTGGACTGTAAACGTCTCTTCAGTGTGCCTTCTATTCCACACGTAAACACCTACCACAATTTCGTAGTCATCCTTACAGTAAAATCTGGAGTGTTTGTGTTTATCTGAATTATATGTTTAGATGCACTTGCTGGTTTTTAAACCTAAAAATTTGGAAAAATGTTTCCCTTAAACTCTTCCAATTTCAGTAAAGCTGTCCTATGAGGAAAGAAAGGAGCAGGAAGGAAGGAAATTTGTAACAGCTTATACTTCTGTCAAACTGGAAATAGTGAAAAGGACGTGTTTCAGAAGTTTGTGCTCTGCTGCTAGTGGGATTGGTAGTCACTTCATGTTCAAAAACCAAAACAATTTCCTCTAAAATTTGTACAGGCTTAACAGAGTATGTAGTAAGTTCAATAACTTTTTTACTGGGCTATATCCTTAACAGGTGCAGAAAAATCTTAAGTCTTGTCAAAGTAAAATCAAGTGAGCGTTCATTATTTCAAGATATTTCACTGGTATGGGTTTTTTTCAGGTCCAGATATTTGGCAGCTTTAGTACAGGGCTTTATCTTCCAACTAGGTAAGTAATAATTTACTTTTATATAAAGCTGGTCGTCTTTTAGAGTGATGTTAAATTTCAAAGGGGAATTTAGGCTGGAATGTGTAAATCTATCAAACTTACAGTAAAATTTTTGCATGATGTCCCATGTGACAAAGGGAAGAGCTTTTGAGCTTACAGATTTGAGATAAGTATTTGATGTATCATTGTACTGCTCTAGGTACTTACTGACCCTTGGGTGAATTACCTTTTCTTCCTTGTGTCTGGGGTCAGTCTTTGGCTCTTTGTTTTCAAGATACAGTGAAATTGAATGTTTAGTATTTCCTGTGTAAAGACTGTGTTTTGTTAACTCCTTTGTTACTGAGAAGATGTCACTTACTGCACAGTTACCATGCAAAGTCAGAGGGGTCATCACAGCTGTCTCTTCCCATTTTTTTTTGAGAACAAAAAGTCTTAATTTAATGTTTTATGTTACTTAATGGTTCAATAGATGGATGTGGAAAACCTGTGTAGCTGTGTCTTAGACTATGTTGTCTTTACATCAATTAAGTATTTTAGTAGGAAAGCATTGGAAATTTCATTTCTATGAATAACAGTCACTGATGATAATTGTTTGGACTCTTAACATGCCTGCCAGCATGGGCGGATGAGGGATGGGATTGGGCTAGACAAGGGGAGGGAGCAAGACAAGTAAAAGGGAGAAGAGCTTAAAGGACTCGCCAGAAAACTGGAAGCAAGAACTATAGAACTACTTTGGGTCCTAAAGCACATCCTAGACCATCTATTAACATTGCTAAAGGAAGCTTATTGGGAACCTAGATTAAAAGTTGCAAAGTGGCCACCCTGGAGGACTTGTTAATATGTAGAATGGCAATTTTACAATTTTTTTTATGGTGTAGTTTTATGCTTTAGACTTAATGGATTTCATGCTGTGTTCTTCCTGTCTAGTGATATTGATCTAGTTGTTTTTGGGAAATGGGAACGGCCCCCTTTACAGCTGCTGGAGCAAGCACTAAGAAAACACAATGTGGCTGAGCCATATTCCATTAAAGTACTTGATAAAGCTACGGTAAGTAGTAGTCTTTAGAATACTGAACTGAAAAGCTTTCAGACCCCTTAAGATGGTGGTAAATATTGTTCTTAATTCATGAAGCAAATGATATAAACACGTTTTTTTTGCTCAGTGCAAGATTTTAGTAGAATCTGTATGTGCTTAGCAATAGCACACATTTTTTTTACATGGACAACGGTAATTCTATGTACTGTATTTGCTGGAAGGCCATACGTTATGCTTATGTTGCCAATAAAGATCTGAAAGTCAGTGTTTGCAAAATATCTAGTAAAATAAGCTAACTATTTGTTTAATGTTTTTCCACTGACCTTTGAGAGGACTTTACTGGCCCCTGGTTAAACAACTAGAGCTGTCTAGCTTGAAACCCCAGTCTTCAAGTGGTCTTGTTTCTGATGGCATAGTGGAATGTTCCAAACCTAACATTTGTTTTTCCCGTCCAAAATATGCTTCCTAAGGGCTTTATTTAATTTGTGAAACTGATGTGTAATATCTCTTGCATCTGTCTTGTAAGCCTAATGGATCACATTGGATGTGCTAAAAACTTGGAAGTATGAGAATTTTATGTTACTGAGCAAGTGGTGTTTTCTCCCAGAGACTAAGCAGATTATTCCGAACTTCTTTTAGCAAGCTGTTATGTTTTGTGGTCTCTGAAATAGGGTGACTCTTCTAGGTCCAGAAGAGTCCTGTGGCTTCTGTTGGAGTAGCAGTACATAAGAGTAACTCTGGTAACCTTTGGCTTACCTGAGAATGAGTGAGATTTTCAGAATCAGTGATACTAGTTAGTGATGGAAATTGTCACTAGGCTTATCAATTTTACCAGCCTTTCTTATTTTATTCCCTCTGCTTTTGGTATAAAATGATGCTATACCTCTGTTCTTTTTTGTTTTCCATTTCAGATTAAAAATTCAAAAATAAAAGATTAAAAAAGTTCAATTTAAGATAATGTTATCAGCTGAAGTTTAGGTTATGATTGTAAGACAATTTGGTAGGATACTGCGTTCAAGGTGGTCGTCTGAGACTGAACTACGTGTTCAGTAGTTCTATAATAATTTATTGCTGCCAGAAGAGGAAGTATTGGTACTTCTGCTTTGCTTTTATCCATTCTGGCTTTTGTTTGAGTGTGCGGTGAACCAGTTCGGCTTGATAAACCAACAGACAGTGCTTTATTTTTTTCTCCTAGGCTAGGCTTGTCTTCTGTCAGTTTAGCAAGTGAATGGTGCAGTGCCGGGTCAGATGAATGCAGTTCCCACAGGCTATGAGAGTAGAATGTCTCCTATTAACAGCAGTGAGTCATTAAATTAAGTAAATTTAGTTGTCTTACAAAACACTGATAATTGCAGCTATGAAGAAAGATACCTAATAGCTATGGGAGAGTACATGAGTGATCATAAGTTAATGTGATCATACATGCTTATGTTTTTAATCACTTCACTGAAAAGCGTTCCCTTGTCAGTCCAGTTAGGGTTGTTATCTTTTCTCAAAAACACATTTCCTTGTTTTAATAGTTGCATTCGTTTGGACTGATAGTATCCGTCTGTCTTAAGTGAGGAAGCTGGAGAATAGCACCAGTGTTGCATTTCTGGGCATTCATAAAACCTTTTTTAATCTTTTTCAGGTACCAATAATAAAACTTACTGACCAGGAGACAGAAGTGAAAGTTGACATCAGTTTTAATGTAGAGACTGGTGTGAAGGCAGCTCGATTTATCAAGGAATACATGAAGGTATCAGCCATATAGTGAATGTTATACTACTTACCAAGGATGTGCTAGTTACTTAGCTAATCTTTTTTTGTATCACTTAAGACTTTGGAAAATTTATTGCTGAAGACTATTTTCATTAATACTAATTAAACCTGAATATTTTAATTTATTTGCTACTGGTATCTATTGGTTGTTGCCTTCGAGTGCTAGGTGTTTGTGTGGATAAACCTGTAGACTGAAAGGACTTCTACAATCACGTCTACATCTGCAGATAGGTACTAAACTTGTTTCTAAAGCAAGTCTGTTCAAGTTTTGCTTACCTTGAATTTAAGTGATGCTTGATTTTGAATACTGTCTTGCTAAGCAACGTCTAAAACCAATTCCTCTGTAGCTACCTACTTAGAATCAAGTTAAGTTTTGTGCTCTGCAGTAAAAGTACTGTTTAGACAGAAAGCTTTGACTATAATGAGTGATACTGGCATTCAAAGAAGGATGTAAAAATCTTCCTGTTTGGGGGGAGGAAATAAATTTGATATGTAAGCTGCTGGATCAAATAAGAGTTGAAGTGTATTCATCTGTTTCTGGAATAAAAAAGCATGTTTCAGTTATTCCTGTGGAAACATTTTATAGCACACTACCAAATAACATTTTTTTATTAGAAGGTGAATCTTCTTGTGTTGAGATTGTGTAGTTCTTTGTTTTGGAATGTTGACATTGTCATTGATAAGACTTATTTTGCTTTGCAGAAATATTCTTTGCTGCCTTACTTGATTTTAGTATTAAAACAGTTCCTCCTCCAGAGGGACTTGAATGAAGTTTTTACTGGTGGAATTAGCTCTTACAGCCTAATTTTAATGGCAATTAGCTTCCTGCAGGTAAGTCTGTTCCTTATTTGTTTCTGTGTTCTTAAAAATATTTTGATTTCTGTACTTGTGCCCTGTTACAGTGCTGTTTCTTTAGACTTCCTTAGCAATGCACAGCCTTACTGTTATGGCTCTAGGTGTTTGATCATTGGCAGCTCCTATGGACTACCTGTCAAACATCTAAGAACTTCTGTTGACTGTGTGAACTGAAGCAGCAGCAGGAGCCTTGTGAATATGGCATAGAGGCTGTGCATTGCTTTCTATACCAGGGCCTGTGATGTGGATTGTTTCCTGGGCAGCCTGTTCCAGTACCTGAATCATCTTACTAGTGTTTTGTAAATCTGCCAGGATGCAGTTTGAGTCTGTTGCTTTCTAGATTACTGATAATGAATGGGCAGAGTAGTTGATTTCAGTGTTTATTAAAATGATGAAATCAAACAGGTTATTTTTTAATTGCACATTGGTTAGGTTTTGACATACTTAAAATGGGCAGATATTGTAGGTAACTGGTGAAATAGCTAATGAGTTATAACTTCTTCAGATAGATTTTTGCGACAGTAAGCTTTGTACGAGTATGACAAGGTACAATGTTAGTGTCTCTTAGCAGCTGTGATAATGCAAAAACCTACATATTCTGCTGCTGTTAATGAGTAAGATAAATGTTACTATAGATTTTACATACCCTATATAATAGGGAGAGATTGAGAAAAGAACTGTATTTCAATTGAGGTAAATAGATTTCCCCCTGCTTCTGAAAACATTAAGACCGATGGATTTGCTGTGAAAAATCGGGCATTACTCTGTTATTAAGCCATAATGTAGTATGCAGTACTACTTTATTGCTTTTGGCTTAGAGAAAATAATTTACTAATCCTCAAAAAGATGGAAGAGGAGGGAGGAGAGAATTCTTTGGCTTCCAGATACTGCTGAAGTGCTGCCCCCTCTTGGTTATGTGAAAGTAGTTTAAGTACATGAAGAATTAATGACTTGATTCAGACTTGTGTAAAGAGGTTATACTCGGCTGTTTAAACGGGAGCTTTTTGTTGCACAGTGTTAAGGTCTGAAAAGCATTAATTTTTAATAATTAACAACTGTTCTGTTTCACAGCTGCATCCAAGAATTGATGCCAGAAGAGCTGATGAAAACCTTGGAATGCTTCTGATAGAATTTTTTGAACTCTATGGAAGGAATTTTAACTACTTGAAAACTGGTATTAGAATAAAAAATGGAGGTGCCTATATTGCCAAAGAAGAAATCATGAAAGTCATGACTAATGGATACAGACCATCCATGCTATGTATTGAAGATCCTCTCCTGCCTGGTAAGATTGTAGACTTCTTGCAATATTCTGGAGCTGGCTCAACTTGTGTTCTCACATCTCATGTTAGAGTCCCTAAAGTCTGTCAAATGAGTTAAGAAGCTGCACTGAGAAGAGACTGTCACTGGTGTTGACGTACAATTATGGAGATGAAACTTCCCAGGATTCACTGCTTGAATAAATTGGATTGCACGCAAACAGTGCAGATACATAATGCACCGGAGATTCAGAACAGTGTTGAGTGTATAATAAGATTCTCTAACAGTGCTGAGGGGTAGAGAACAAAAGAGGTCCTGGAAGGGGGGGGGTTGTTAGTGGGAACAGCTCTCCGTTGTTCATTATGAGAGAACGAGAATTGAAGGTGTAGCTTTTCCTGCCACAGTCCGTGGTGCCATACTTCAGATAAGTAATACCATATGGGAAAGAAATGCCTCAGATGAGGTACCTGTCCTGCAGGGTGGTGCAGTAGAGACTGCACAGAAACATGGGTGTATATCCATGAATGTGTAGCAAGGGAGCAGGTGTTTTATGGTGTTGGTGTGGAGAGTGGTGTGCATAACTGTCTTCTGTGCTGCACAGGGACCTTTAGAGAATGCCAGTTACAGTTGCATGTACTTTTAAAAGTAACCAACTTAAAATACTTTTTTTTTTCTTTAAGATTTGGTTTTGATTCAGTAGCCTTCAAAGTAATCAAGATTAATTTTGGCTGAGCTCCTGAAAAAAATTTCCAGCTTTGTAGTACTTGGTTTGGATTCCATTTAGACTGTCAGAAGTAGCTGAAACTCCAAAACAGCTTTTATTAAATTCAATTTTCAGTTAATTTGGACTTCAGCATTAGTATTCCTGGAATGTAATTGGCACTCAAACTCCATACGTCACGTCTTGTGGGTAGACTGCTTATGTATAGCACTTTTAAAGCAAATACCATGGATCAGGAGCTGAAGTCTGGCACCTTTCTAAATAGTCAATATGCTGAATATTCATAGTTCTCTAGAACAGGGTGCAAGCGAAGATACTCATTTGTCTAACTAAATCTCTGATATGTTTGTAGCTCTGAGTTTGTGTCCATCATGACTCTTCCACTTAGCCAGGCATAGGTGTGATTTTGCAGAACTTCTGTTGCGTTACTGAGTTTTCCTTCAGTAGCTGTGTACTCACTTGCCTGAAGACCCATTTGAGTAGCACCCTGAACCATGTTTTAGAGTCAAAGCCTTTACTGTCCTGTGTTTCTGTTCCTTCCTATCTGCTGAGGACTGAAAGAGAAGAAATTACATACGCTGCACGATGTTTTAAGCACTGCTAATAGTGCTTTGGAATTTTTTTCTTCTCTGACTCTTCAGAGAAGAAAAAAAAAAACCAATTTGTAAGCCCAATAGGGGCTATGAACTGTTCCTCCTAGCATAAATTTTGCCGAAGCAAAGAACTATAGTTCAGGAAAAAGATATCTAGTTATATGCTGTCAAGGAGTTGATAAGAATTAACTTTTAGATGAGGTTATATGGGCTGAGATAATGTAATTCTTACAGGAGAGAAAGTGTTTTGGCAAGGGAAATGAAAGCTGACAATAACTTGAAGTTATCTGACCGCTGTGTCCCATAGGGATATTTTCTGGCAGCTGCCACAGAGCTTCAGAACTTGCCTGATAGAACTAGGAGGAAAATTGTATAGAACATATAGGATGACTCCTTGAATTGGATCTAACAAATATAGCCTCCTTAGATCTAGACTTAATCACATATTCTTACAGTATCTAAAAGTACCTGTCAAATGTATGTAGATAATGTCTAGAATTCTGTTAATTAGTTTAGATCTGTTACTGCTCGTGTCCCAGTGAAAAAAATTTTTCCAAGGGATCAGGTCCTTGCCCAGTTGACAAGTCATCATCATCCCTGCTTCATTAGTTTTTGGGCAGATCAACTCAGTGTCTTAACTCCATGAGGGTCAGTGCCAGTACTATGGAGGAGATGGGAACAAGCATTTTGGTAAAGAGTGGGCACAAATGTTCCTTGGCTTACCTTTGTGTAAGCTGCTGTAGAGTTTTTCCCTCAAACCTGTTTTTACACTGTATGCTCAAGTTTTTAATCTTTTTTTTTTTTTGTGATACTTTTTTAGCCTGATGAAAGTTCTGGTTAAGCCTTGGAAGAAGACTTTGAAAGATGACTTTTTAATCCAGAAATCGGACAAAAAAAGCCTTTCAGTTTGTCAAGACTATCAAAGTAGTGTAAAAGTTCCTACTTTAAGTGTATGCACTAGTTCAGCAATAGGATGCTGAAAGGGATAACTCCAGAATAGCTTTAGACCATCTTGTAGGGGACAGGATTAAGTTCAGTGGGATTAGTTCTTTTAAATTGGAGGAACTTTTTTCTTCAGTGTGAAATGGTGATGTCTGGCTAACAGATAAATAATGTCATCATAAGGATATCATACTTCACTTCTACCTGCTTAGTACCTTCTGTTAGTTCCTAGATTTGGAAGGAACAGCCATCAGTCTGTTGTGTTGCTGTTTTGGTTGTAGTGGGTTTTGCTCAGATTCTTTCCCGTGCTGTATGTAGGGTTTCCTCTAAGATTCTCAAAGGCTGATTATTGGGTGCTAGAGGATTGTGATTTCTGTGATTTAAGAACGAAGATTCCAACAAAGATGTCAGGAGTCCACACTCCTGGGATTGGGAAGTGTGTTGAAATCTGGATTTGAGATGTCCAACTAATCTAGCTGGCGATGCATTTTAAAGTGGTAGTTTATACTTGATCTTCATACATAGCCTAAGATTCTTCATCTTGAGTTACTGTAGGACAGGGTAACGAGATGAAAATCTTTCCCTTAGTATCATCCAAAGAAGGGAGTTTATATAAACATCTTGTAGCTGCTACCATTTCAGTTTTTCAAAGCAGTTTTCCTTTCTTTGTGTAAACAGCGAAAGCGTTCATTTAAGAGAAGGGCAAAGCCAGGCACTCAGAAGTCTGCTCACAGGAACATGTTGGAGCAGGGTGGATATATCATCCTAGAAGAGGTTTCTGTGGAGTTGGTCTAGCAGTACCCTGTCTTGGAAGACGTGACTCTAGTTGCTGGTGACAAATCTTTAATCTGTGGTTGTAAAACAAACCTGGTATTTATTCAGCAGATTGTTAGGGAAGCTTATTATTTTATGCCTTTGTGAATCAGGTGATTATCAAGGTCCTTCGTCATTTCTGATGCTCAGAACAGAAATGATTTTGAGCTTTGTTCAGATTGACAGTGGCAAGAGTAGCTAAATTGCAGTTTAAGACTTGGAGTTCCACCTATGTTGCTCCCTTCATGAGAGGGTGAATTGCTATGGGCACTAACAGAAGTTCTAAACCTTACATTCAATGCATTTTCTTTGAAAAGAGACTTTAACTTGCAGGACTAATTATGCTTTGTGTTGCTCACTTCTGCATCTTGGTAGGTCAAATACAGGAAGTAACTAGATTTGAGATTGGCAACAACTATCAGGATTATCTGTTCTAGCCTTAGTTGGCTGCCCAAAGTTATTCATTGCAGCTTTTCAGTATCTGCTATTTGTCATTACAATGTGCAAATATATGTGTGTGCATATAAAATATATGCATTTATAAAAATACACAAATACATTGAAGTTAGCATCTGAAAGAACCCCTTTAATGCTGAATGTTGCAAAAAGGTACTTACTAGATAATTGCTTAACATAAATGGATCTGATTCAGTCCTAGATCATGGTCTTACCTGTACTTTTCCAGGCCATGTTCTTAGAACTGCTTCAGGTAATGGAAGGCTACCTGATGGAGTGGTAATACCAACAGTGAGTGATGGAAATCTTAGACATGCTCCTTTAGGGATGAAGGCTTTGTAAGAAAGAATGAGGATTGAATTATTCATGAAATCACACACCATTGTTATCTACTAATGTACACCTGAGGATTGAAGTCTGTATGTTTTTTTTAGAGTGAGAACATTTGGGTTACATGCTTTAACTGATCAGTTTACCGGTAAGATTGTGCCAAAAGAAGGATGCTGAGGTATGTAAGATAGGATCTACTAATGAGAATGATATCAGAAGAAAATCTGTTCAGGACAGCAAATGCAAATATATGATCTTCTGGCTTCTTCAATATGTTGCTTTGTGGATTGGATAGGGCCACCTCTATACAGATGTGACTGGTACAGTTTGCAGTAGCTCAGGTAGTAGCTTTGGCTTCCATACCTGGTTTTCAGCTGCAGTGGAAGTCAGAAGCTCCGCAGACTGTATAATTAAGACATGTTTATTCAGACATTTTTATGAACTAATTACAGGTGCAGAATGAGGCAATCCAGGAACCTAGGCATGCTATGGCATGAGCTATCCTGCCTCTGTTCTCAAATCTACTTCAGTCAAGACTCATACACAACTTCGTTGGTGGTTTAAACTAAACTGCCTGAGTTTGCCTTAAGTGGATTAGGGAAGGCTTATGATTTCTTTTGCTGGCACAACAGTGGAGGTGGCAACAACTGACAAAAGGAGTAACCAACAGTTTGTAGCAGCAGTGTCTTCATTTTGGTGTAACTCCATGCAGGATGCATGTCAAATGTAGTTGCCTTAGCACCAGATTAACCTAAACTAATGCAATTTGAGTGTGTATTCTTAATTCCTGTTATGTGAATGTATAGAACCGTTTAGGTTGGAAAAGACCCCTAAGATCCTGGAGTCCAACTTTAGATGGACTTGAATTTAGTGGTAGGTGGTGAGTTTAGCCACTTGTATGTATTCCATTTCTGTATTGCTTCTCGATTGAATACTCTTTTGTATATATGTATAGCATGTCATTATGTGGAAGGTGGCATTGTTGCAGGACGCAACGTGTCCTGTCCCTGGAAATCCTGTACTGAATTAATCCTTGACCACTGAAATACCTTGGTCTCTACTGAGCTGCCTTTGGACTAAGTCCTTTGTGAATTCCTCTACTACTTTGTAGTGCAGCTCTGAATTTAACTACAATGTGTTTCTTCCTAGATTCACTATCCTAGGCCCACAGTGGTCTCTGCTTCTACTTCAGGATAGAGTCCAGTTGCAAATATGCCATTTAGAGAGGCTTCTGTAATTTTGAGCCTAGTAGTTGCTAGATAATGCAATGGTGCGTTCAGAACAAGATACTTGGTTACTTCAGTAAATGGGAAGTATTTCTTGATCAGTTTTTATTTGACCGTATAGATTACTGAAGAAATTCTGTGTTCCCAAAATGCGCTTATGTTCCCAGTCTGTTTTCATTGATTATGCTTTTCTGTTAAAGTGGCGTTATGGTTGGAAGATCCTGAAGGACTAAAATGTGTGGTCAAGTAGAAAAGCAAAGGCTGCTTTTTTTTTTTTTCCCCTGGATGGCAGTCCTCAGCATGTTTGTCTATAATGGCTTGCTGGACAAAATACTTTGAGTGAAGGGTTCTTCCAAAGTCAAATTCAGCATCGGTGTATGCAGTCCTACAAAGGACAGATTCTGTCCTTTACCCATCAATTTTCAAAGCAGATTTTTCATTAAAACCTGTTCATGGGCCCTGATCTGTTTTTCGAGTTTAAAAGAAACATGTTCAGTGGTTCACCCCTTTCCAGTGTTCTCTCAGCATTTCAAGCACCATTCTGAAGGAGGGAAGCTTTTACTGTAAGCAGCTTTCTACCCACTCAAGATCTAATCTATATTTGAGACACGCAATTTGAAGGAAGTTCTAGTGTTTCTTAAATTGAGTGGTGACAGTGACCCTTTGGTGTCTGGTGCCAAATATATCTACAAAAAAATGCCGAATGTTTCTTCTTGCTAGTAACAGCAAAATCTTTCTAGGTGTCAAATGGAAGACCAGTGCTTGTACTTTGTCACTGATACAGAAGCTTTAGCATGTTAACTTCTGCAGTTCCTCACACATGACACTATTTGGAAGGAGTTCTGCTATAAATGTCACACGTGCTTAAAGAGGGGCAGTAAAGAAGTGCCACTAACTGGATTAAAAAACAATGGTGTATAAACTTCTGAGATCCTCTATGATAGATTTTGACAAACCATGGAGATAAATAATCTGTATGAGCTGGTTTATTAATCTGTAGTTTTGATAAGGTTAAGTAGGGGTTGATGTAAGTATACCTGGTCCTATGAAGATAATGTGGTTGTGCAAGTGGAATTTTAAGCTGAATTTGGCCTGCAGAAACTCTACTGGTAAGTGAGACATGATGCTTTAAGCTTGGTAGGTTCCCTCTTAAAAGAGCTAAAAGAGCTTTAAGCTGATCTCTATTCTCTGTTTCTTTCAGACACTGGTACATTGATATTTTAAGTGATAAATTGAATGCATGATGTTGTGTCATTCCAAAGGTTAGCTTCTTATATTGAGATAGGCACACCTAGTTGTTCCTGGTATGAGTAGGATGGGCTAACCAGTTTAAACAGAGTTAAGCTTTAATTATGAATAATTTTCTGGTTACTGATATTAAAAAAAGATGATCTGATGACTGTCACATTATTTCAGGAAACGACGTTGGCAGAAGTTCTTACGGTGCCATGCAAGTGAAACAAGTTTTTGATTATGCCTACATTGTTCTTAGCCATGCAGTATCACCACTTGCAAGATCATATCCAAATAGAGATTCTGAGAGGTAATTAGTCCACTTTTTGAATATCCATTTCTCTGTGTAATCAATTAGGAATGTTTGGGTCTAAATCAATAAAAGGAATGTTTTTATTTATTGTTTAACTGCGGCTCTATTGAATCTGCTCAGAAATTTAGGCTGCCCAGTGGTATGAGTGTTATATCTCAATGTGTAGTGTTGAAATGAAGACAGCATGACAAAACCCAGGATGAGACTAATGTGAGGTTCTCGTAGTGTGGAGGGGAGCCTTTCCTCAAACATTTTGCTTAAACTATTTCAAAGGAAGGTCTGCTGGTTTAATGTTTGGTATGATGTCTGTACTATGGCAGAAAGAAATGCGTATGATCAAATTGCTTGTTTAGACACAAAACTAGACAACAAGGCTAGAAATTTTTGTAGTTCTTTAATACATGCTCCTATAAGCTGTTTTAAAAGGCTTGATATGTAGTTCAGCTATTCAAAGAATCAGTTTGGTTTGTCTGTAATGTCAGAAATGCCATTAAAAGTAGCATGCTTCTAGATGTGCAGTTCTTAATGTCTTTCATAGAAACACTGTATAGCTGGTACTTTCTCGGTGCTCACCTTTGCAAGTTTTCTGGTTTTTGAAAGGGGGAAGAGAAAGAAGATGAAGGCATGTCAGCCATGCTGTATTTTCATTCATGTATCTGCTCTAGCATCTTTTATTCTAACCCTCAGTATAAACTGGGGCTAGATCAGAGGACGTCTCTTCTCTGAGACTTCCTTAGAATCCCAGTGGCTTTGAGCTCCCCAAGCTAATCGCAGGGAGGGATGGCTGTAACAAGTCACATAAACCATCTAGATACAATTCCAAACTAGTCAAGCTGTTGATTTCCAGCATTGATGTCACGGGGAGGTGAAACAGTTCTCCTATTTAACTGTTTACCACAAAGTGGATGCAGTTTTTCACTTGTGGATTTAGAATTGACAGTATCTTAAAAGTGCTTGTGAATCTCTAGATTTTCTGTGGTATTAAATTCATAAAGGTTGAGACTACATTTGTGGCTGGGGTGGAGAACTGACATTTGAGGTGTTTTAAGATAGATTAAAGGTGTATCTCTTAAATATGTACTGGCTGACAATTCTTGTTGCTGAATGAAACTTCATTCTTAAGTAAGTATAGACAGAACAACTGAGGGATTCCTGAAGTTTTGCTTGTGTCTTGGGTCCTGGCCTTCATTAACTTCTCTGTGGTTCTCCAAAGGATAGAGTCATTCTCTTGATGAATTTTGTTGCAGCTTCAAACCTGTCGAGAAGTCTCAGCAGCAATGTTCAGGTGTTATACATCTGACTTGTCTTTCTGCTAGTTCAGGGCTGTCTGTGCCAGTGATGTCAGAGTCTCAGAACTTGTCATGCCAGTGGCTTGCCATTCTGTCAGAATGGTGTTGCAAGAGGAACAGCATTCAACAAAGTCCTGTATGCAATTAGTTCCCCCAGCACCAGTTTTGTCAATGCCAAAGGATCTGTAGGTGGATGAAGAGCTGGTTGGTAACAAGTTTATTGCAGAAGCTCAACAGCAGTCCCATGTTCCATCTCAGTTTTTAGTTAAACCTGATGTACTTGGGCAATCCAGATATATTTCAGATCCTTCTTCCACCTGTTAGGCAGAGTGGTCCAGGCTCTATATAAAGACTTTTCTGGTGGCCCGACCTAGTGCCTTAGCCATCCAGGAGCCCTTTGTCCTGATCCATTTTTTTCCCTTTTCTAGACTTGTTAGTGGTAGATTAAACTGTAAACAATGGGCTCCCTTCAAGAGCAGCGACTGGCTGTATGACATTCTACTAAAAGGATCAACAGAAACCAAATGAACACTTGAAAGGGTGGGAACTTGCAGGGGGCTGAACTCCCCAAGCTGACTTGAATTTATTCAGTTTTGTCATAATTGGGGCTAGCTTTCCCCTAAGTGGAACAGTTCTTGAAATATCTGATGGGTTTGAATCCATATTAGCTCTTTCCAGGGAAAACTTCTGTGTACAGTGTCCTATTTTGTAGATGGCAATCTCAGTAGATTTCAAATCTTTCTGGGTGATCATAGTTACTGCTCTTTTTCAGGGTCAGTCCCACTCAAAAGAGCACAAACCTAAGTTAATTTAAGGCTTTGTAGCCAGCTGCTGCTTCTCAGATTCCCAGTGTGAAAAGAGTCAGATTTTGGTCCTTCAGCGTAGGACTTTTCTTGTCCATGTTCTGTAGCAATAAGTCCCACAGAATAATAAGGGGTAGATTCAAATCACTCTTAACAATCATCTTCATTCGTGCTTCCAAATATAACATCTGGAGTGTAGTGGGAGTTGAAAGCTGTCTTCTGTCTGAGTGGAAGCAGTCCTGAAGGTAATTCTTACTGCTGCAGAAATTACCTTAACACTGTTTTGTTCCCAGTCTCTCTCTCCCATCCTCTTTCAAGAACAGCTCAGGAGAGGCTGATAGACAGTTCAGTTGAGGAAACAAATTCCCATCATCTCAGAAGGAGGGGTTTTCCTAGTATGCAAATGAGGAGACTGATCCATTTTGAATCTGTACAATTTGTATGCAAGGTCAAGTTTGGTGTTGTGACTTTAGCAGAGGTTACTGGAAATAAAGATTGATTTCTTAATATTTGGGGCCATGAGGACATGAGTCAACCTGTAAAATAGGTAGTAAAATAGGACAGGATAGCTCCTGCTTATGGGTCAGTGTCAGGGTGTGCTTTGAACAGCTTTAGTATGGTCTTTGGCCATAGCTTGTCTCTAGAGAAGAATGTGTCACCTTGAGGGAGCTAACTAAAGAAGTCTGTAAGGAGTGATATTTTCCAGTTATTGACCATTTTCCCATTTTTATTCTCCCTTTTCTAGACTTGTTAGTGGTAGATTAAACTGTAAACAATGGGCTCCCTTCAAGAGCAGCGACTGGCTGTATGACATTCTACTAAAAGGATCAACAGAAACCAAATGAACACTTGAAAGGGTGGGAACTTGCAGGGGGCTGAACTCCCCAAGCTGACTTGAATTTATTCAGTTTTGTCATAATTGGGGCTAGCTTTCCCCTAAGTGGAACAGTTCTTGAAATATCTGATGGGTTTGAATCCATATTAGCTCTTTCCAGGGAAAACTTCTGTGTACAGTGTCCTATTTTGTAGATGGCAATCTCAGTAGATTTCAAATCTTTCTGGGTGATCATAGTTACTGCTCTTTTTCAGGGTCAGTCCCACTCAAAAGAGCACAAACCTAAGTTAATTTAAGGCTTTGTAGCCAGCTGCTGCTTCTCAGATTCCCAGTGTGAAAAGAGTCAGATTTTGGTCCTTCAGCGTAGGACTTTTCTTGTCCATGTTCTGTAGCAATAAGTCCCACAGAATAATAAGGGGTAGATTCAAATCACTCTTAACAATCATCTTCATTCGTGCTTCCAAATATAACATCTGGAGTGTAGTGGGAGTTGAAAGCTGTCTTCTGTCTGAGTGGAAGCAGTCCTGAAGGTAATTCTTACTGCTGCAGAAATTACCTTAACACTGTTTTGTTCCCAGTCTCTCTCTCCCATCCTCTTTCAAGAACAGCTCAGGAGAGGCTGATAGACAGTTCAGTTGAGGAAACAAATTCCCATCATCTCAGAAGGAGGGGTTTTCCTAGTATGCAAATGAGGAGACTGATCCATTTTGAATCTGTACAATTTGTATGCAAGGTCAAGTTTGGTGTTGTGACTTTAGCAGAGGTTACTGGAAATAAAGATTGATTTCTTAATATTTGGGGCCATGAGGACATGAGTCAACCTGTAAAATAGGTAGTAAAATAGGACAGGATAGCTCCTGCTTATGGGTCAGTGTCAGGGTGTGCTTTGAACAGCTTTAGTATGGTCTTTGGCCATAGCTTGTCTCTAGAGAAGAATGTGTCACCTTGAGGGAGCTAACTAAAGAAGTCTGTAAGGAGTGATATTTTCCAGTTATTGACCATTTTCCCATTTTTATTCTGTTTCTTGATAAACCACAGGAAACCTTAGCAGGTGTTTGGCAGCAAGCTCTTGCTCATTGTTTCATGTGCTTTGAAATAGTGGACTTTTACTACCCTGTCCATAGTCTATATGAAGGTGCAATTTCACATAATACCTTGTCTAGCCTAACTATCTGTGGGCATCTCCTGTCAGCTGCCCTTTTTCTTCTTTCTCAGTCTGTATATTCTTGACTCTTGCCTTGGATCAGATCTAGTGATCCTGCAGTCAGAAGGTAAGTCGGATGAACTCTGGTCTGACTGAAAACAAATGCATCAACACTTCTGTCTTGCCAAGATGCTGATTCAGCTAGTGGCTGCATGATGGGCAGATCAGAAGCAAGAGGAGCAGGAGTTCACGTTTGAGGGAAGATGGAGAAAGTGGTATTGTACCATTTGACAGCCATAAGTTATCCTGATCTGGACGTGACAAAGATGCATCCTTAGGTTAATATGTGTGTCTGTAGATCAGGATGTTGGCTTACATGTTGGCCTGTTGCATGGTTCAGATAACAGTGTGTGCTCAGACTGCATCTCTAGACAGCAGCATAGCCGCATTGGGAGGCAGACAAGGTCATAGAAATAATGAATGGAAGAGTGGTTCTGCTGTGATGTGTCCTTCCAGTATAACTAAGACTTTCAAAACCTTTCTTCAGTTCGTGGAGCTTCAGATTTGGTAACAGGTTCCTCCTTACTGGTGCCAGACATGTGGTGGAGGTGGATGAGGGAAAGGGACTGTCATGCCAACAGGCTGGAGTTTGAGGAAGCCTTGGCAGGGTTTTGTTACAGTATGTCAGGGGTTGTCATTTACAGGTGATAATCTTCAAAACAACGAGAGTCTGGGCCATATGTGAAGTTAGTTTCCATCTCTGCTTGAACACTGTTTGGTCTCTTCCTAGCGTACAGTTCAACTGACCTAACTGCCGACAGGTCTGTATGTTAGGTTTGGGTTGCCCTGGTTGGCCACAGTAGTCCTTCGAGCTCTGGGAACTGTTAAAGGGAATGTTAAATTTGCCTGCTAGAACTGCTGACACAGAAAGCAGAAATGTGTTGTCTGACACAGTCTTTCCTTTGCTTCACATCTTGAATGGCGGGTAGCTGTCACTAGAATGCATGCTGTCTCTTAAAAAGTATCAGCAATACCAGCTTTTCCTACACAGAGTATTTAGGTAAAGGTTTTAGATTTGGGTTTTTTTTTATCCTTGTGCTCAAGCAGATCCTTCTGAGGTGCTCCTTACTCTGCTTATAGATTATATTGCCCATTTAATATAAGGAGCATATTTCATAAGTTCAGTTAAGGCCTAGCATACAGTTATTTTGGCTGTTCTTTTACAGACTTGATGTTTTTCCTGCTCTGGTACTCACTTGTTCATGTGGAGCTTGGCTGGAGGTTTAGATACTTGATTTTACTGAATCTTATGTCAGCAATCTGAACCTTTTAAGAGTGATCTTAAGATTTATTTGCACCATAGCTGTGCTGTAATGACAGCTAGAAAGTGTCCCTATGAACTGAAGGCTTGCAGTGTGTAAAAGGAGGAGCTTCTAAGCTCTTGTAAAATAAACTAGGTATGTAATTAGCTTATTCCTGGTTTTACTGTATGATAATATTAAGGGGAAAACCTTGAAGGGGCATCTTTCATAGGAGAGCTTAATTTTATTAAGCAGTTAACTGTGTGTTTTCCATGTTTTCCAAACATGCATCTTTGTAGAATTGTGGGAGTCTCTCATATCTGTAGAAACTCTGGCCTCAGCCAAAAAAACCAAACCCCAAAGTGTGGAATTTCCTCACACTAAAGGCTGGGCAGATTAATAGTTTTTTTTGTTCCTAAACATTTTCAGTGTTGAAAATATATGTAAGCACAGTTTTTAAATGTTTATTTTAAAAGAATTGTTCTCGGACCCTGTGGATGTATTTGAGTCCCATACATATGAAATGGTGTTCTTTTGAGCAGTATCTAGTCTGATCACACTTGCTTCCTCTTTCTTTGCTGCTATATTAAGTATATGGCAGTATAGCCTTAATCACCTTTCAGTTTGGTATCTCATAATGTTTTTAATTTTTGTGTACGAGCAATGTAGTGTGGATGTGCCTTTGAACTCCTGACCTGATAACTTAGTGAATTTCTTTTCTACCAAAACCAAGTGTTTGGGGCTTTGACCTCTATTCTCTATGTAAGGAGTTAGTGAGAGAAGAGATTCCTGGGTTCTGTACGTGCAACTCTGCTGTAATTGTTGCTGTAGCAGTAATTTCACCCTTTCCACCTATTTGATAGCAGGCATTTTTGTGTATCATTCTCCCAGGCTGATAAAAATGCCATCCGGTATCATTCATTTTCATTCTGGTACATGAAGGTGTGACTGTTGATTTACTTCTGAGAAACTACTCAAGAAGATACAGACTTGACAAACTCCTTCTCCCTAGGAGCTTATGTTATTCCATGTTTGTTTTCTGCTTCTGATTCTAAGACCACTGCTGGTAGTAGTTGTGAAATGTATAGGTCATCCTGGAGTAAAAGCTCAAATTTTTCTGAGGGTGTTCTCAGATGAAACCTTTTAGCTGCAAGATTTCCTTCTCTGTTCCTGTGCTGGAGAGACCCAGTGTGTGTATGTTTGAGTCCACACTGGCATTGCTGTCTTGGGAACTGCAACTCAGGGCCACACCTGATTCTCTGCAGTGTGGGTCATCCCTATCTTCATTCTGTCTCCTGGTTTATCTTCCTTTTTGAGACTGAGAAACCAGAACTGCATTGAGTATTTAAAATGCTGTTATACCGTGGGAGTGTACATTGACAAAATACTATCCTCTGGTTTATTTGTTCCTTTCTTGATGTGCTCTACTTAGCTATTGAACTGTGGTTTCTAAAGAATTACCTATTATAGCCCAGATCTTTAGTTGCTGAGTGGTGACAATCATGCCTTTAGTTCTGTATGTAAAAGTCAGGATTTTATTTTCCAACATGCATCACTGTCTACATTACATGAATAGGATGGTGGATAACATTCATTCTGTCTCTGAGGCCTTTCTGCAGCTATTGGACTTGTAACTTAGATGATATTATTTCATTCAATGTTTGATCATAATGCTGGGCTGCCTTTTTCAGTCCTAACACGCTGATGTGTCTTTAAAGTTGCAAGACTTTGCAAGACCAAATACCCTGTGTTCCATGTTTAAAGTAGTAATCCCTAAGTGAGGTGAAGAATTATTGCTCCTTTTTAAATTATTATGAAATGACCTAATAAAGGTACTCTAAATACATTTAGGCTATGTATGTCTTCCCTTCCCATTATATACCTAAACTGAAAGAAAATTCCAGTACAGGTACAACGTACTTTTATGATGTGAAGTACAAAATAAGCTATAATATAACTGTTGAAGATTTTCAAAACTGAAATAAAAGTACCTTCTCTTAAGATGGTAACTTTTCACAGCCTGTTTTTGTACAATAGTTAGTCCTTAATGTATCTTGAGTGTGGATTTTATAGTTAGTGTTTCAGCGACTAGTCCCTGATGAAAGGAAAGCTTTTGAAAGTTTAGATCTCAAACAAGGATACAACTTCTGCTCAAGAAAAAATACAATTCAAATAGCTGAATGTTGGGAAGGTATGTTGGAAAAATATTGATTTATATTTGTTTTTAA